TGGCGCATGCCAAGCTGTTCATGGTGCTCTAAAACCAAGGACAGAAGGTTGTAGGAGTAGAACGTTACAAGAGCTGAAATGGTGAGGCATAAAGCCCCAGCAAACCAACCCATCAAGGAAAGTGCATAGGGAAGACTTAAAAGTGCAGGAGCTACAATTGTAGTTGTCAGGTGATATCCACAATGCAACCATGACCCTACATACATATCATCACCGTCGTCGTCGTCATCATCATCATCACCCTCAATTAAACTCTTCAATTTAACAACAAATACAAACCTCTCCCTCTCACCTCCGGCCATTTCACGACGAATCTTAGGTACAAACCTCTTCCTCTCACATCTACCTTCGTTTTCATAGGTCGATCGTAGCCTAGGTTTACATGTTGACGTCGACCGGAGCTCAGGAGGCTCCGACCTTTGTTCCCGACGAGAAACGGGTTGGTTGACCCACACCCTTTAGCCCAAGACCTAAAGGGTTCGGCCCACTGAGCAACCCAAACCCAAATCCTTTAGGGTTGGGCTTACAAGCCCAAGGCCCTTGAAACTTGGCCCTTCAGGCCGCGCCAAACCGAGCCTCCAACTCGTTGGAACCCAACCCACTAAACCTTTGGGTCGGCCTATCAAGCCTAGGCCCGTTGAACCCAAAACCCTTCAGACCCCAGGCCTTCGGCCCAAGGAACCCAAACCTAAGCCTAGGCCCAAACCCAATCCAAACCCTAAGCCCAGCCGCACGTGAGTCTGCGCATGAGTGCCTGCCGATGTCGGCACGTGGAGTACACACGCCATCATCCACAGTGGCGTCGGCGACGCACGTCGGCGCGTGAGGGCGTGTGGGGTGGTGCGTGGGGGTACCCGAGGTCCCCCTTTATGTTTTTCGACGTCTTGAATCTGTTTATGATGACTGTTTTAAGAAATTCAATCGTTTGAGTATAATTTTATTAATTGGATCCTTTATGTGCTTAGGTGCAATTATTAGCGGTGTTTTCGTCCAACCTATTTTGTACGGCTCTTCGACGACAGAGTATTTGTGAGTGGACCTTTTCTAAACTACATGGTTTAATAGTAGAAATGCATACATGAAAAACATGATTAAATGGTTACGTTTTATGAAACGTTTCATGAGTAAATTAGATTTACACCTTATGATTATCATGCTTTACTGAGAATATTTTGGAATACCATACTTTATGAAATTATGTTGTTTGTAGCATATATGATGGATGGCTATATACTATTTATGAATATGTTTTTACACTTCTTTGTAGTATATATGATGGATGGCTATGTGTGTTTTGAGATATACGTACCTATGCTTGGAAAGATTATATTCAATGTTTTGTGCGTATCTAGTGGTCACTGTTCTACCTACGGGCAACGATACTTATATTGGCTTCTGTTGGGTAATGTAGGGGCTTACGGGTAAGGAGATATTATATTGGCATGCAGGTCAGGTGGTGTAGGGGCCTACGGGTCGAATGAAGATATATATATTTGGCCTACGGGTCGGGTGATGTAGGGGCCTTCGGGTCGATTATGATACCACTATTTAGCACACTATACTATATATGTTTTATGAAAAGTTTTATGGCATGCTAGGGTTTTTCGGAAAACCTATTACATATTATGCTATTGAGTTTTCATAAAACTTTGGGGGTTAGTACGTTATTGAATAATTGTTTCAGTATTATATATATATATATATATATCAATTTGATCTACTTATGTTTGTTTTGCACCCCCTCAAGACAAAGGAACTAGGCATACGATCCGAGCCACGAGGCATTCCCCTACTAATGATATCTTATCATCCTCTCTGCTTCGCATATATTGTAATAGCACCTCTCTATTTTACAAGGTTCTAAAAAACACTAGGCGCTAGTCGGGCGGCGGGCAGGGGCCTAGCGCCTAGGCGGATTTATATAAATTTATTATATATCTTGTAAATACGTGCTTATTTACACTTAAAAAAAACTTTACTTGTATGGATGATAGAAAAATAATAAAATGTAAAAATAGAAGTAGAAGAATACACAAAATACATTCATCCCACAATTGAATAAATTTGTATTCAATCCATCATTTAAAATTTAATAAGATTGTAAGCATATATAAATGGGCTGGCCCTGCCCAGCCTAACCCAACCCACCCCACACTTTATTTTCTTTTTCTACTCATGTCTTCTACCGCATCAGCTTTGTTACTCTATTATTGTAGTCAACTCTCTACTTTTTGGTTTTCTCTATTATTGTAGTCACCTCTCTCTCTACTTTTTGGTAAACAACTCTCTCTCTCTCTCTCTCTTCTTGCAGTCAGCTTTGTTTCCATCGCCTCCTCTCTGTCTTTTAGCGCTGCTTCTTCTTCTCTCATATCTCCCATCATCAGACCTCTCCCACCATCTCCAAAAGCTACTTCAAACCCTTAACCTTCAACCCAAAAACCCGAAAGAATTCCAAAAAACCCAACTATCAAGCAACATCGATGCGGCTCCGACGAGATTTTCAGTCGCCCTCTTTCTTCTCGCTAGATCGCAGCAGAACGGAGAACCGCCGAGGCTCCGACGAGGCCGCCTAGACAGCCGCCTAGATACCGCCTAGGCGGCCGACTAACCCGTACCCAATTTTATGAACGATTTGGCATTAATCCCGATGGCACTCCACCGCCCAGCGCCTGGGCACCGCCTAGGGCGTTTTTTAGAACACTGCTATTTTACCTTACGCTTGTACTCTGGATTAGTTGTATGCCCTGAACATGTCATGCATTATCATTATATTCATTGTTGGCAGTTGAATATTATTATGGTATTTTGTAGGACTTATATTTGCATATTACTTTGCGTAGTAACTCGCAAAATTTATATGCATGCTTCACATGTTCTCGGCATATGCATTTATTAAATGGCTTTCGTCACCCTTGAGTGTCGGCCAGCACGTGGCCATCCCGATGTCTCTTGGACTTTGGGATTGGGGCATGTCAGGTACCCTCTCGTTGTCTATAAAATTATAAACGTGTTTGCAGTCGAACCATTTCATTCATTCCAATTCACTTCCATAGAGAGAGAGAGAGAGAGAGAGAGAGAGAGAGAGAGAGAGAGAGAGAGAATCATATTTCTGTGTGATCACTAGATATCTTAATTCCTTCGTATGACACAAAGAGAGAATCAATACCTCTAGATTTGAGCACAAATAAAGCTCCAGCATCAAGCTCCTTTGAAATGTTGGCTTCTTCATCTTCCTTATTTTCTGCTGATAAATCAGTATTTGAAATGGGAAGAATTGACTCCATAGCTCTCTAGCTATCAGGTTATTTTGGTCTGCGTTTGGATAAACAATATCGCTGCAACACGATCTTAATATAATTGACAACCAAATATTTTCCCCGATTTGGAAAAATAAATGGTAAGCAAGATAAACACTTTGGATAAAGCAAGACAAACACTTTGCTTGTTTATAAGTCACTGTCGTCTTTTAGCAAAGAAAATATATTACAGTTGAAAAACTGAACACTTAGATATTTGTTTAGCTATTTGATGACTACAGTTCAACAAAGGCGGCTTCACTCTAGTCTCAGATTTGACAAAGAAGGCAATGGATTTGACTAGCATCCCACAATAATCATTGGTAGATTTAAACAATCATTTTCCTATCATCCAAATGCATTTTTTCCCATGTATTTTTTTGTTTTGAACTTTCGAGGACGTGATGACTCCATTTAACAACCACGTCTAATTGAATTTCATGAATGGCGAGTTCAATATATACACACTCTTTCTTAGCCATTGTCTGATTTTTTTATCACATAATTCTTGTATCCACTTTAGATATCTTGTTAAAGAAAAGACTACATATGTTGATGATGGATGATTATTTATATATACAGTTACAAATGCATTAGGACTATTGAGCCGTGATTGATCTAAACAGATTTTTAGGTCAAATTATATTGGATTGCGACTGCAGAGACCTTCCAGGATAATCTGCATGTAGATTATCTCCAACTTCTTCCTTGAAATAGTTGGAGCCCATCAGGTGTTCAATGCCATCTGATATGTCTATGTCAATGTATGCAGACAAGTCAGATTCATCATCTGATGATTCCCATGACAACTCTGATTTTTTTGCAAGCATCAATCTCCTCAGTTTTTGTAGCATATCGTAGTTTAGCCTTCGTAGTCCCTGAAAATTTGAAATACTACCTTTTCACTTGTATATCTAACAAGCATATATATATATATGTGTGTGTGTAAAATAACGAAGGGAATATCTTTTGCTGAAGTAACTTTCTTCTATTGATACAAAAAAAGTTATACAAAGAGGAACTCTTGACAAAGAAGTAATCTAGCCTACATTCGAGGTTTACAAATCAATTACAAACAAATTACAAATTCGTTTACCAAATTAAGCCAAGATATCCGGAATGGTATCGTTGATTTTTTTCCCAAACTAAGCCAAGATATCAGGAATGATATCATTGACTTCTCAAAACTCCCCCTCAAGTTGAAGAGTGGATGTTGAGAACTCCCAACTTGTGTATAATCCTTGAGAAAGTTTCCTTCCAATGCTTTTGTGAATACATCTGTAAGTTGGTGTGAAGAGGGAGCATACCTTGTGACAACTGAACCATCATGTATCTTATCCCATATAAAGTGGCAATCTGTCTGGTTCGCTCATGACTATTTCGTTGTCAGTTAAAAAATAAAAATTGAAAAACAATAGTTATCGAACAGCCTGTTAAGAGTATCTCATTTTTACTCTAGGTCATTAACTTTGCCGCAACGTGTCCTCTGGCTCTGAGGATAAGGAATGTATCATGAACTAATCAACCAACTTGCAAGTAATAAAAATTGCCATGGAAGACTTTGTTTCAGCTAGCTAGCTTAATTAGTTTGACTACTTAGGTTGCAGATTAGCTTCTGTGATCGCAGTCAGTTGATTAATTTTCAAGTACCCCCTTCTTCAAACCTAATTAAACTTTGATTCATAATGTTCATAGAGAAACATCTGATCAACGATATATAATAAGTAATGCACATGAGAAAAAAAAGAAAAGAAGCAGATAAACAGTTCAAAATGCCGTTTACAAACTTGCGACAGGATTTTGAAGCAGTCCTACATTATAGTTTATATGTTAGCAAAAAAACTGTACGTGTTAGAATCAAGAACGATCTGTCGGATTGAAGATATTGCACCCAACAGTCCTAGAGCAGAAAATGTTGTGGCAATGATTGTGTTTCCCCAGAAAAGTAAGCTGTACTTGGAGGGCTTGAACACAACATTGTAGAACACCATTGGCAAAATGAAGTCCAGAGGAATGCATCCAAATGCTCCAATCAGAGCGTTGATGTCGCCAAAGAATGGAAACATAGCTGCAACAGTTGTGGCTATGACCACAGACAGAGATCGATAAACCAACCTTGGCACAACATTGCGAACAGAGAATTGATCAACCTTTGCATTCGCAAACTTGCGTTCAAGTACTTCATTTGTTGGTTGTAAGTAAACCTGCAGAACCGATCAAGTTTTGTATCATCCACTGAATGTAGTCTTTACGATTCATTCTTGGTGTTGTGAAGCAGATTGGAAGACTTACCACACTAACAGCTGATACTTGCAAGAAGGTGAAAACATTGGTCATCAATAGAACCCAAGTTGGCAACAGAGGCTTTCCATCAACTAAAAAATTGAGCAGAATTGTTCCTTTGGCCTGATTTCCAAACGCCCAATAACCCGAGATACCAACACTGAAAAATGTCGAAAGTACAACAGCATAGCATACGCATAATCCTTTGAACATTTTCCCTTTAACTGGAGGTGCTATTGTTGCCTGCAAACATATAAATTGCCCCATTAAGTGAGAATTTACTGATTCTGCTGAACAATGTTTGACCTCTATCTTTTATCACTGCATAAGATCAAAAGCAAACAATAAATTCGAAATAATAGGATTCCGTTGTCTTTTTTTTTTTCTTTTCCGTTTTTCCCTCAAGTAGAGGTCGCACTTGGTGCGATGGCAAGTGCCTTCGCCCATGAGCGGTAGGTCTCGGGTTCGAGACTTGGGAGCAGCCTCTCCATAAAATGGGGGTAAGGTTAGCCGACATTCACCTCTCCCAGACCCTGCGTAAAGCGGGAGCCTTGTGCACTGGGTACGACCTTTCCGTTTTTCCCTCAAGTAATAAAGCAATTGGAAAACCTGTATTTCTGGAATAATGCCATTTCCATACGTGGTTGCGATGATTGAAATAGCGTTGAAGGATCCAAAAACACGATTCTGTCCACTTCCATTTAAAGAGTAGTCCTTCCTAGGAGCATTAGTCGAATTTCCTATGAGCATGGAAGTCAATTAATTAAACTGATCACAAGTTATACATTCCTAATAATGTAAAGAAATTATTTTGTGATTTCTTACCGATATATACGGAACCAGCTGTGGCACAGATGCTATATGCAAGACAAAGGATTAGAGAGACAAGGTTGATATGCCTCAAGGAGTGGAAGGATGGAATTTGTGCCAACACCAGCATCAGGACACCAAAAATAATAACAAATTGGTAGAGTTGCATGGCTTCTGGTCTTGAACTAGAAAGCAAATATATATACTTGTAGAAGAAGAATTATATGTGGGAAAAGCAAAAGAAAATTAAAATTCAGTAAACATCCCAAATAATCTGCAAACAAACTACTACTTCAATTGTTTGGCAAGCTACTGCTGCTTGACATAACTTCCAGACTTCAAAGAAATTAAAATTAAAATTAAACTTGATAAATTTTAAGTTCATAATTCAGTGTTCTTGTAAAAGATCACAAAACAAAAGTTTGAAAAAATGCGGGGTAGGGGAAATTTCGACAGAAATATTAAACTGATTATCACCTTAAGGCTCTGCCCTCCCAGAAGAATGCAAGCTATAACTGCACCATAGCACAAGCCAAATTGAATTGGACCAACAAAGTATCTTCCCCACCCTGGTCCTGTAAAATTAGACCATGCATGCTCATATCATTTTTCTTTCTTGCAATATTAATAATTTTGCCTCAAATCACAGGACAATTTACATTTAAGAGGAATCTCAAGGGGAAGAGGGCAGCTATAAACAGTACTCACCCAAAATATCTCTGGCCATGTCTCGGAATCGAAGCTGGCGCATGCCAAGCTGGTCATGGTGTTCTAAAACCAAGGACAGAAGGTTGTAGGAGTAGAACGTTACAAGAGCTGAAATGGTGAGGCATAAAGCCCCAGCAAACCAACCCATCAAGGAAAGTGCATAGGGAAGACTTAGAAGGGCAGGGGCTACAATTGAAGTTGTCAGGTGATATCCACAATGCAACCATGACCCTACATACATATCATCGTCGTCATCATCGTCATCATCATCATCATCAATTAAACTCTTCAATTTAACAACAGACTAGAGCTCACTGATCTTGATTCTTGACACACTTTAATTTCATTTTTTGACTAAATGATATATGAACTACTCAATCTAGGGAAAAGTTTATTCGAACTTGGGTGCTGCCTTAGCTGACTGCCTAACAGAAGCCTATGATGAACGAATAAGTGATCCATGTGATGGGGCTTTCACATGGAAAGACACGCCTATCTGCCAAGATGCGTGACTCTAGGAAAAGGGGCTTCGGTTCTAGTGAAGAGATATATGTCGCTTCACATGTAAAGTGATATAATGAGTGTATAATAAGGTACACCCCTTGGATCAAGGGTTGCACCTCTTTTAAAGGTTTCAACAATTCAACAAGGGTCTTGTTTTATGGTACCCTCTCGTTGTCTATAAATAAGTTTGCAGTCAAACCATTTCCTTCATTTCAATTCACTTCCATAGAGAGAGAGAGAGAGAGAATAAACAGTCTAACATCACTACAGATCTTAATTCCTTCATATGACACAAAGAGAGAATCAATACCTCTGGATTTGAGCACAAATAAAGCTCCAGCATCAAGCTCCTTTGAAATGTTGACTTCTTCATCTTCCTTATTTTCTGCTGATAAATCAGTATTTGAACTGGGAAGAACTGACTCCATAGCTCTCTAGCTATCAGAATATTTTGGTCTGCCCTTGGATTAACAATATTGCTGCAACATGAACTTTCATATAATTGACAACCATATATTCCTCCCCTTCACAGAAAATTGGAAAAGGAAATGGTTTTGTTAATTTGTGAAGATATAGACAAATCAAGAAAAACACTTTGACTTGTTTATAAGCCACTGTCGTCTTTTAGCAAAGAAAAATAAATTAAAGTGGAAAAACTGATTTGACAAAGAAGGCAATGGATTTAATTAGGATCCCGCAATAATTAAAAGGAAATGTTATTGGCACTTGAAACTATCATTTTGCTATCTTGTAAATGTTGAGAATCAATCTCACATTGATTGGGAGGATGGACCTTGCATGTGTGTATAAGTAATTGAGTTATTCTCCATATTGTCGATTGGTTTTATGGTGAAATCTCAAATTTTTTATGGTATCAGAGTAGGCTGCCAATGTGTAAAGACCAACGGCCACACGTACTTCATGTCACCTGATTTGTATTGTCCACATATTAAACTTGAAAATTCACCACACATAAGTGACCGTGTTGAGGATGAACTGACATTGATGGCAAGGGGGACTTAAACTTCTTCAGCAAACGTATTTTGTCGCATATACTTTTTGTTTGGAGGATGTGATAACTTTTTTGAAGTACTCCATTTTACAATTACGTAATACTACAATTTAATTGTTGGTTATTTTAAATATTTTAATAATATTTTATTTTAAAGTTTCAAAATTTATTATTTATTTTATTTTATTTATTTATAATATTTAAGAGTTGTGTTTTATTTGAAAAGTCATATTCCTTTTTAAAAGGATATGAGAAGTTCTTTAAATATGAAACCTCATACAGAAAACAGAAGACGCTTAAAAGACTTTTCTGTCTCCCTCAATTCTCACATCTCTGTCATTCTATTTACATTCCTACTTCATAATTCTTGGGCAATTGATCACTACTTGGCAATCCCGTCTGCCGTTGACGTGCATATCGGATCAGACATCCTGTGAGGCTTTGGGTTGTATCTTGGAGTTGTAGGCACCGCCATAACCTGCACGTAGGGAGGCGTCTACGGCTTTAGGGCAGCGACATCGCTCCTCTCCTTGGTTCACATGACAGATTTTCTTATTCCTTTTTTCCCAATTTAAATTTCATAAGTTTGATAGTGATTATCCATTTGATTTGATATATTTGATCATATAAATAATTGATATATTTCTGCAATACATTTCACAATCTAAAACCGTATAAGTGTGATAATATAATTGCAAACTTTACATTCTGTTTCACAGTGCATTGAAAGCCCCCAATAATTATAGTGTTCAAGTCGTTCAACTTTCTGGGAATGCATAATTGCCTCTTTGCATTTTTATTTATTTATTATTATTCGGTCTTGTTGTTGAAAGCGTAGAAAGGCTAATATTGCCCTTCTTTATTTTATTATTATTTTTCTTTTTCAACTTTCTGCAGTTTATTATTATTATTATTTTTTTCGGTCAGTACCCAAACACTTAAAAAACTGATTTGCCTGCCATCTGTTTTCTGAGTTGATCATCTAGGTATAGATGTGATTTGCATGTCATCTGTGTTATGAGAAAACTGTCATCAATTTAAAGCATAATTGAATTGTTTTTAATTATAAATTCTTAGAATAGACGTGATTTGTGATTTGCTGTCATCTGTGTTCTGAGAAAACTATCATCAATTTAAAGTACAATTGAATTGTTTTTAATTATAAATTCTTAGAATAGACGTGATTTGATTACAATTGCATCAGTGCCGTGATTGTTACAATTTGTGTGTGATTATTCAGTATCAAGTACTTGCATCTTTTTATGCTTTAATTACATATGTGCTTGATTATTACAATGTGACTACAATTGCATACAGATATATGTTAATTGCTTTATGCTTTAATTAAATTTGTGCGTGATTATTATTATTAATTGATTTGTGGTTATTATACAGTAGTATAGTTTATCTTATACTTGTTAAAAAAAAAAAATTAGTGACAATTTGTTTTAATCTCTACAGTATTATAGCAATCTTATATCTCTCTCACTTGTTATTAGTCAGAATTACATAACAAATGGCAAGCTTAGAAGAAGCCAATAGTGTTAAGCCTGAAAAATTTAGTGGCCATAATTTCCGTAGGTGGCAAAAACAAGTGAAATATTGGTTAATTGTCTTAGGACTTGTATCCGCACTTGAAGAATCTCAATCACACAAGGATTCCTCTTCTAAAGAGTCATCTTCTAAACTAACCCCTGAACTCATAGAATACCATTGTCACAATAGAATCTTAAGTGCCCTTTCTGATCATCTATATGATGTGTATCATGCTACTACATCCACCGCCAAAGAACTTTGGGAAACTTTAGAAGCGGAATATGGAATTGTAGATGCTGGGATGGATAGGTTCACAGTCTCGAACTTCAATGATTATAAGATGGTAAATAATAAGTCTGTGGGGGAACAAATACATGAGTATCAAGAGCTATTAAGAGGTGTTGAAAAGAAAGGAACGAAGTTTAGTGAGGACTTTAAAGTCTCATGCCTTATTGATAAATTGCCTCAATCTTGGAATGACTTTGCTAGAACCTTAAGGCATAAACAAGGAGAATTTACTTTGGTTCAAGTCATAAATTCAATTAGGATCGAAGAGAAGCATAGGTCAAGCCAAAAAAAGGAAACCGAAAGACAAACAACTGTGAACTTAGTTGAGAATGACACCAACAAATATGGAAAAAACAAAACCAAGTTTACCATAAATAATAAGAGGAATTTCAAACCTAGAAGAACAAATTTTAAATTCCTAACCAAAATAAGAACTTTCACAAGACTAAGGATCAAGGGAGAGAGAAGGGGGTTTGCTTCGTTTGCGGAAGAACCAATCATAAGGCTAAGGATTGCTTCTACATGAAGACTGAGGAGAACAAGTATAAGTCAAATCATAATGGTCCAAAAGCCCAAGTGAATATGCTGATGGAGCAACAATCTTCTCAAATACATTTTAAGTATGATTCCTTTGTCAATTTTACTTATGAAAATAAGGATTGGTGGGTAGATTCTGGAGCTAATGTACATGTCTGTTTTGATCGTCAATTTTTTAAAACCTATCAGAAATCGGGTGGAGGACGTGTAACTCTAGGAAATGACTCAATGTCGCAAGTGCTTGGAATTGGAGACATTGAACTAAAGATGACATCTGGAAAGGTCTTAACTTTGAAGGACGTGCGACATGTACCTGATATTAGAAGAAATTTAATTAGTGGATCATGCTTAGTAAAGCAAGGCTACAAAGTTGTAATGGAATCAAATAAGGTTGTAATAACCAAGAATAATGTATTTATTGGAAAAGGTTTTATCAGTGAAGGATTATTTAAGTTAAGTGTTTCTTCCGAGTGCAATAATATTCCAAAAGTTCTTAATGTTGAATCTAGTAATGTTTGGCATGGACGTTTGAGACATGTAAACTTGTTCAAAATTAAGAAAATGATGGATTTGGATCTCGTCCCAAAGTCAAACATGAATCTCAAGCATAAGTGTGAAATTTGTGTACAAGCAAAACAACCCAAGAAACCTTTTAAGTCTGTCGAGAGAAATACACAAATTTTAGAGCTTATACATAGTGATGTTTGTGACTCAAATAGATTACCTACTAGAGCTGGTAATAAGTATTTTGTCACATTTATAGATGATTGTTCGAAGTATTGTTATATTTATTTGATAAAGACTAAGGATGAAGTATTTGGTAAATTCAAGATTTACAAGACAGAAGTGGAAAATCAATTAGAGAAAAGGATAAAGAGACTAAGGTCTGATAGAGGTGATGAGTACACTCTTACCGATCTTAGTGTTTTTTGTGAAGAGCATGATATTATACATGAAGTAACAACACCATATTCTCCACAATCGAATGGCGTTGTAGAAAGGAAGAATAGGACCTTATTGGACATGGTGAATGCAATGCTTTTGAGTTCTGGATTACCGGAAAATTTGTGGGGGGAAGCCATTTTGACTGCATGTTTTATATTAAATAGAGTAATCATTAAAGACAACACTACTACTCCATATGAGACTTAGAAAAAGAGAAAACCAAATCTCCAAGTCTTGAAAGTGTGGGCGTGTTTGGCTAAAGTTGCAATCCCAGAACCTAAGAGAAAGAATATAGGACCTAAAACTGTGGATACTGTTTTCTTAGGTTATGCTCATAATAGTAGTGCCAATAGATTTCTAGTCATCAACTCTGAAATAAATGAAATTTCGAATAACACTATATTGGAGTCTAGGGATGCAACATATTTTGAAGACATATTTCCTTTTAAGACTAAAATGCAAAAGCATGTGGTAAATAAATCATGCACTAGTACTGACAAAGCCTCTACAAGTATTAGCCATCAAGTTACAAACGAAGAAGAACCTCTAGCTGAACTTAGAAGGAGTAAGAGACTTAGAGTGGAGAAGAACTTTGGTGATGATTTTTATACTTTTCTAATTGAAGGTGATCCAACAACATATAAGGAAGCCATGATCTCCGTCAATGCTCCATTTTGGAAAGAAGCTATAAATAGTGAAGTTGAGTCTATTTTACAAAACAACACTTGAGAGTTAACGGATTTACCACCCGGTACTACACCAATTGGTTGTAAGTGGGTATTTAGGAAGAAACTGAAGCCTGATGGAAGTATAGACAAGTACAAAGCTAGGCTAGTAGCCAAGTGATTCACTCAAAAAAAAGGAATTGATTATTTTGACACTTACTCTCCTGTGTCTAGGATTACCACAATTAGGATCCTCATAGCATTAGCTTCTATACATAATTTAGTAGTACATCAAATGGATGTTAAAACATCATTTTTGAATGGAGACTTAGATGAAGAAATTTACATGGAGCAACCCGAAGGATTTATAGTGAAAGGCCAAGAACATAAAGTGTGTAAGTTGGTTAAATCGCTATATGGACTCAAGCAAGCTCCTAAGCAATGGCATGAGAAGTTTGATAAAGTCATTCTAGAATATGATTTTGAAATTAATGAGCATGAAAAGTGTGTCTACTATAAGGAATGCAATGGACAGTGTGTTATTTTATGTCTTCACGTTGATGATATATTACTATTTGGAACAAGTCTGGAAATTGTGAAAGATGTAAAGTCTTATCT